CTGCAGAACACACAGCAAGGAGAAGATGGTCAGGACTCAGTTCACAGGGAAAAATGTCTCAGAGACACCTCAAAGTTTTCAGCCAGCACCAAACCATCTACAAGGAACCGGTGAAAACCGGTTCGGTCTTCAATCACGGTTGTGTGGTTATGGTTTAAAGATGGAAGAGATCAAAGCTCTGGGATTTAGCAGGGTTCATTTGGAATAAACCTAAAACACTCCAAACACACGTGAAGCTGGAAAAAATAGAATCTGGAGCAAACGTCCATTTATCCAGCTCAGACCGACACCATGTTGGAGTTATCCCTTCCCTGAGCGCCGGCATCCAGATAACGTGATTCACCTGTTAAGCACCTGCTGATAAAAATCAGGTGAGTCGAAGCAGGAAGACAGTAAAACATGCGGGATAACGGCCCTCGGGAATGGAGTTGGGATTACTGATCTAAAGACTCAGGAACCACCAAATGCTCACTGCTCCCCCAGGGGAGGGCAAATGACACACACACACACACACACACACACGTGTGGGAGTTTCACTTTGAACCCTCTACAGGTGCTCTGGACTCTGAGACCTTTCCACAATATTCCGATTGTCTGAGATGTTGCTGCGAGCCCTGATCTTCACCGAGAGAAGAGCTGTGTACCGCTGAGATTTGTGGGATAATAAAGGTTTCTTCGATGCTTTTCTATTTCCACAAACACACAAACACAATGGACAAAGTAAAGAACGCAGTAGAAAAAAATGATGAAAATCCTTCAGATCCTAAATGCTCGCTACGTTCTTCAGCTAAAAGTTCTGGTTTTCCCACGCTGTAGCATCCCGACTCCATCCAGCGGGGAGCTAAACATACGGAGTTACTCCTGAGTCAGCATGCTCAGGGTGAAACACGTGGATTATATAACAGGTCGTATTAAACAGCTGATCCATGAAACAAAAACAAACCAAAGGTTACAGCCCATCTCACCACCAGGGATCTGGTGGGAGGAAGGAGAGCTGCGATCCACTTTCCGATCCAGGACTGATTTTCATCTCCGTGTAATCGCAGCCCAACCCTGGAATTAGATTGAGCAGCACTCAGACCTGGATTAAAATCACTTCCAGCTTCCACTTTCTCCAGGGAGAAGCTATCCCAGTGCTCTCAGCTGGGCCTCGACCAGCAAAACCAGTTCTGTGTGAAACATGACCCGTTTGAGCCAATCAGATCCCTCATTTATCTCATTATTCCCACTTCAGATCCACACAGAATACCCAGATGTGAAAGGAAACCAATATGGAAATTCATCCTGATCAAAATTTGAAGTAAAAATAAAACAGACTCAAGAGAATGACTCAGATGGTTCGTAAATCCTTTAATGCTCCAGTTGGGAATGCATTTCCCATGAAATGGGCCACGAAGAAAGGAAAAGTTTCTGTGGTTCTGCCTGACGTCTCACTTACAGCTGATGAAGCTCTTGTTTCTGTTAGTGTGGACAGTTTCATGTCTTCTGACAAAGTTTAGTTGGTCATCAAACCAGTTTGTTCCCTCATCGTACCAAAAACTAAACAAACCTCGACGTTAAAACTGGGATTTGAGGCGTGTCGAGTTACACACCTAGTTCCAACCAAGCCCCCACAATGCGGCTCAAAAATTGAGGCCAACCCGGAAGTACCAAAAATTGCAGTTCCACCCTCATCCACTAGGGGCTGGTGTCAGAAGCGAGCAAATCCTCATTGACTCCCATGTTAAAAATACCAATTTCACAGCAGAAATAAACATGTTTACAGCCTGGTTCCAAAACATGTTTTTTGTTTAAATGATCTAGTTTACACTCATGACAACTCTGAGGGGGGTGAATTTTTTTCTCACTCTTCTGTTTAAGTGTATTAAAAGCCTAAAATTCTGTATAATTAATGAGCCTTAGACCCAGATGACCACAGAACTAGCTCCGTGGAAAGGCCTCAGTAGAGCCTCGGTCTGGCTTGGAAACTGCTCCAGGATTTTGAGTCTCTGTGTTTGTGTATTCTTTTTTGGATATTTTTTGTGCAATTGTTGGACAAAATGACTTGCTGTGGCATTAATTGCACTAATAGAGCGTCCAAGGAGTCTCCACTTCATTTTTTACGGTAAGTAAAATTATATTTATGTATTTTAGGTCACTGCCGAGCTGAGCTCAGATTTTAACATGTACTGTTTAACCATGAAATTTAAATGTTATAGGGTAAAACCCAGTGCATTTAACATAATGCTGCACTTTAGAAAATGGGTTGAAATATAGCATGTTGGTGGAGCTGGGTTCCCACTATCGGCTTGTGGAGCTCTCAGGAGACCGATGTTTTCCACCCGTTCTCCCCTCCCCGCATCTCTGTCTGATCACGGCTTCTGTCTGCTGTGCGGCTGCCGGCTTTCAGCAGCTTTCGGGAGACCTCTGTGTTCCACCCGGTTTTACCCAGCGGTCAGCCCGGCGTATCTCTGACTCAGAAGCTCTGGTGTTGTGCACAGTTAACTCCGGTTGTAGCTAGGTTGCTACCTCTGTTAGCTTAGCTCCCACCTCTGCGTTAGCTTTGGGTTAGCTTCAGGTTAGCTTGTAGCTAGTTCGACCGGGTGTCGTCAGTGGATCCCAGCCTTACAGCCCCACCCTCAGCTCCTCCTCTCTTCCCTTTTGTGGAATTGTCTGGGCTTGACGGAACCTGTGACACGGTCAAAATGGCGGTGGTGGCCACCTCCCATTTAGCCTCAAAAACGTGATATTGGAGCCTATGGAAAAGAACTGTCCAGTATATATGTCGATGGTTCTAACTGATCTGAGGTTTGGAGGAGGACGAGGACGAGGACGAGGAGGAGGAGAAGAAGAAGAAGAAGAAGAAGAAGAGATCTTTTCTATAGCGCTTCTCAAGATAAAAATCACGAGGCGCTTCACAAAAACCAAAAATGTAAAATATAAAAAATAATTTAGAAAATTATTAAAATATATTTAAAATGAGCAAAAAATAGACAATTGTGATAAAATAATGTAAAGAAAGAGAGAGTGTGAATAGGAAAGAGGGAAATCAGTGGATCTGGAGGAAGGTGGAATAGGTAGGGAGAGCAGAACAAGGAGCGGGTGATGAAGGTCACACCAAAACCAGCCTGAACAGGTGAGCCTTCAGCTGCTTTTTAAAGGAGTTCACTGAGTCACCTCAGGAGGTCCGTGCACCTGGTGGACATGACAGCAGGTCAGGGTGATCTGAGGAGCAATCTCCTTCTCCTCCTTACAGTGAATCACTCTCCCTCTATCTCCTCACCTGTCCATCTGTGTTACCCCCCCCCCCCCCCCCCTTCATCTCTCCTCCTGTCCGAGCTGACAGCCATGTTTGTTTTGCTCTCCAGTCTTCCTCACTCAGGATCTCACTGCTCCTCCCTCTTCTCTTCTCTCCTCATCTCCGTTTGTTATTCCAGTTACCTTTTCCCTCCTCTCCATCCTGTTTAGTCTCTTCTCTCTGAAACTATTTTAGAACACCTTCCTTCCATCTCTTCTCCTTCAGCCACACCCTCTTTTCACTCCCGAACCTCTTCACCTCCTTTAAGATACAGCATTCAAACAATTATTTTATTTATTAAGTGGAGTTATCTGCCCCGAGGACCGTTTGTGAGCACCTGAACTCCAGGAGGAGGAGCAGCCTGGGTCAGAAGCAGAGAAGCAGCCATGAATCTTCATCACATGTACGTTTCCAGCCGCGATAGCTTAGCTTATCTAGCAGCTAACTGATGGAGAACGTGGCACACACTCTCACAGACTGGTACCGGCCTGAACCCCTTCAAAACAAACTTACATACTTACATCTACATGCACGCGGACAGGAGACACGAAAACTGATGTAGATTTTTAAAAAATGGTTTTCAGTTTACAAAAACATGACGTAACGCTGGATTAGGCTGCATTAACAGAAAGACTCAGCTCAGATCAGCTCTGGTTCCTACCAAGGTCTCCAGAACCTCACCAGCTGATCCAGGTGGACTCCAGCAGCAGAAGACCACACCAGGTGTCTCTCCTGTCAGAGCAGGAACCCGAGGCTACAATTCCCACAGGATCACCAGAACCGGACCAGGAGAGACTGGAAAACCATTTCCTGGTCTGATGAGTCTGAATTTCTGCTGTTGGGTCAGAACCTGGTGTCTCCATCCTGCCTGGAGGTGGTTCTGACCTAGCTGGGTGTTCCTAATAAAGTGACCAATTTTAATCATCATCATTCCAACCGATATAATTAGCCAATCAGATCTCTTAACTGGGATCTACAGTCACCTGTTCAGAAGCAGTGAACCAATCGCAGCTGCCACCCACTCTGACCTTTAACCCCTACTTCCTGTTTCAGAGTCTGGACACACCTGCAGCATCTGGGCTTCATGTCACTCCTCATATTTCTATTCATTGTTAAATAAATAAAAAACAAAAAAGTTGCTTTAATGATTTAATTAACCTGAAAATGATCAGATGTCTTCAACCTCTCAGCTGAGATGATGCTGAAGACCTGAGGAGGAACTAGATCCGGTTCAAGGTTTAATCGGGTAGAGGTGGAAAACGCTTTTCTTTAGTTTACAACTGAAATTATAAATCTGCTTTTGTCTTTCATGAACTTCTTCAGAAATGAGGTTTTCACGCTGGAGATGATCGGGGATCTGGAATGGCTCCGGTCCAGATTCTTCTGGTGTGGGTCCAGACCGGAGAGCAGCTGGTCTGAATCAGGTTTAACCGCATTTTCTGTTTCGTACGGGAAGATTTTCCTCTTCGTTCTGCTGACGGCTGGGAACCAACCCTAACCCAGCTCCGAGGAAACCTCTGAGCCTGACCTTTGACCTTAGAGACGCTGACACTAAAATCCAACGGTGTTCAAGAGGCTCTATCTGCTCCTCTAAATCAGGATCTAAACCAGGACCTGAACCAGGATCTAAACCAGGACCTGAACCGGGATCTGAACCAGGATCTGGACCGAGATCTAAACCGGGATCTAAACCAGGACCGAAACCAGGATCTGAACCAGGATC